TCCACTTAGTCATTTAATCAACTGGTTTAATATTTTTAGCTGATTTATGCAAATAAAGTCATATAGATTTTTACTTTGATTTTCTTAATACAGCTTTGATAAATATTAATAAAATCTTGAGTTGTTTATAATTATAACTTACATTATATTTTTTTAATCTAGTTAATAAATTCTTGTTCATGTCGAACCTTTTTTTATTAGCATCTGCTCATGTAATATATTTGTTATAGAATATATTTTATATTCGAAACCTTTTTATACCTGCATTTTTTTGTTAAGATCTATTGGTTGTATTGGTTTATTATTGCCAAATCAATATCTTATCGAATCAGCCAAATAATTATTCGGTCAATTTTTTACTAGTACGTACGCACGTTGTGATAGTAAAATATAGTCTAGCCAAATATCAGCAAAAAATATAGACCAATATATATTGATCAATATCTATGCAGATATATATCAATAATAATCCCCCCTGTTAGGTTTTATCGATTGTGATATTAATCAATATATAGCCGTTTTAACAAAAAATTGCTAAAAATCGATTATATTAAAACCTAATTTATATTGATATATATCTAATAATTGTTATACTACTCATTTATAGCAAAAGCCATACTAACACTAGTCTTTAAAATGTTTGAAGCAATAATTGAATTTATTTAAAAAATATTTTATAACATATAATTATTCGATATACAATGCAAATTTATTAAACAATAAAAGAAAAAAAAAATACAATACAAGAAAAAAAATACAATGCAAGAAAAAAAAATATAATGCAAGAAAAAAAAAATATATGCAAGAAAAAAAAAATACAAAAAAAAAAACAAAAAAAAAAAAAAAACAATATATGAAAAATATACATTATATGAAAATAACATTATAGAGCACATCCAAACAATTCATCAACTTCTTCTTGAGATATTGATGAGCTGTGTCGAACAGGAGATTCACGTTCAGGTTCAGAATGAGGCGATACTTCTCTTGATGGTTTGTTACACATATTTTTGTCATTTAATATATTATTGGCTGATTCATAGAAAAGACCACTACTGCTTTCAAAATCGCTCTAATCAAATATATTAAACGTTAATATTTGTTACCTATAAAAA